TATAATATGGTCAAACATATGGTTTCAATAACAAACTGCGCTACAAGTATTAATTTTAAATAGTACGCACTTATTCAAATACTCATGCACACACTCGGGCGCAAACGCATGCGGAAACTCAGGCACACACTTTTACATGCACCACACAACCACTTATGTTGGTGTCCACAAAACCCCCTCCGATTACCAAATATTTTTACAGCCATCGAAGAAGAATGAGCAACCGGCTGTAGAGGCGGTGCGCGATGGCGAGCACAAGTTTGTACGCAACCGAGCCGAGCAGATGGCGTCAGGACAACAGGACCGGTCCAAATATGGAGATATCGTCATTCTAAGTATTTTTGTTGCTTGATCAGCATTAATAGAGTTATATGTTGTATAGCAATATTTATAAAATCCAATCTTAAAGGCTTGTATCATGGTATGTAGAATTGTTGTAGATGTTCAAAGGACTGTTTTAAAAGGTCCAAGGACTTGTATGCGGGAACAATGGGATTCGGATTGTCATTGAGGTCGAATAATGTAGTGATGTATGGATAGTTAAAAATAGTGTTTAAATACAACTTGTAGACTACTGTCTAGAGAGTCTACTGTGTCTGTACTAAATAAATACATAAATACGTCTACAGTTGTCAGTATATACTCAAATATAACGACCTTGTCATATTTATTTATTGAAAGATCGGTTGGCATTTATTCCTTGTGATTTTTCGTACATAGCCCCCTAAATTGATCATATTTTTTGGTTATGTTTAAAAAAAACAAAAACATTTCTATTGCAAAATGTAGAGTTTAATGATTTGTAATAGAGGGTGAAATAAAAATCTACCACGTTCTTGGAGAATTCGAGCAGCAATTCATGGTAGTATACAATAAACATTTTAGAGTTAGTTGAGATAGCTAGAGAAGTTAGAGGCGTGGAGAGGCAACCTGTCCCATTCTGAGTGTTATGGGCGTCTCGCCTAACCACACCACTTGCTTAGTAGTAATGCGTTGGGACAAGGGATCCATAGAATTGATCATTTCAAATAATATAGGGTAGAGTGTGTTCCACTTTGTAGTAAACCTTAGAAGGAGGCATCTAGGGACCATAGCAACAGGGATGTGTGTTTTTTTTAGAAGGAATGAGTATTTTTATGTATGAACGTATCATCAATTGATTCAATTCCAAATTGTATTAAATCCTGAAAAGCGAGAATGCATCGCTTTTAGCGGGACAGCTGCTACGGACTTGACAAGGAGAAAGCGCATGTAAATTGGTGGAGGGTGGTTGCTGAACATCCATCACTGTTGACAAATGGATATCGAAGTACTTGTTTTGTGTTGTTTTCTGTATATTTATTTATATAAACATACACATATAGCGGCATTTGTGGAGTGTTTGTCACATGGTTAAGCACCACGTGAATCAACCGGCAATGTATGTGGCTTCGAAATTGCAATTATAACATATTCGCAAAACTTCTCGGTCTGTGGAGCTTCGTCTGCGGCGGAAAGTGATATAGCCTAGGAAGAGCACAATGCGACACTGATCACAGGAGACTGTTAGGATTCCTCACACAGCACACATAAGTGGCTGTCACCTTATGTTATTACGTCGCTGTCTGGGGGCCATTACTGTGACCAATAACTAGAGTTGTGTGGCTATATATCCGTCTGGAGGCTATTGATATGGTTTTCCATTAGAGGTACTAGAGTAAAGGCATACTTATCGTTTGGTTCTCCACCGTGTATTTGAAATCCCCTACCTTTCTCTTCAACTTCATTGTTCGGGAATCGGGAGAGCACAGTTTCTTTACACGAACTTATTTGGTAAGGTCACAATAGCATGTTTCAACCAACTATGTTATCTCAATATTTCAAAGGCGAAGCCGAATTTGTTTAAGCCCTGAATACAATAGCATGTACAACCAACTATATTATCCCAATATTTCAAAGACAAAGCCAAATGTGTTTAAGCCCTGATTACCTGATAATCACCTCACCCTTTTAAACTGCTGAATTTCAACTGATAGTCCATTTCAAATCATAGCGCTATTGACATTGATTTTATGAATACATACCGTTGTCGTGCAACATTCAATTTTACTCTATCTGCTATTATATCTCCTCCACTACAGAGTGAAGATTATATTACATCACTCAAAAAGTAAAATTTATACACCCATCGTAAAGCTTCTGTTAACCTGTTACATCATAGAGCATATCTAGATATATCCTCATATCCTCATAGGTCAGGAGTTTTACGAATTTTTGTTATTTTAACGCTGGTAAAATTGCCGACGGAATTCATTGGCACTCCACTGACAAGTTTCCCAATAGAAATCCAATCAGAACAATACTATCAGATTATACGACGATAAACTGATGACGAAGATTTGAAACTTAAAAGTATGAGCGAATCATTTCGCATTTTGGTGTTCATGTTTCATCCGCTCTGGACGACGGTCTCTACGCTGTTGCGCAATGCGCGTATAGCCTAAAAGCCATAACCCTCCATGTTTCCTTTAGAGTGCAATGCCGCAGCCGCCATGTTGTGTTTAGTTATTTATAGTAACTCCAATCCCTATTCCCCAGGCCCGTTATATCATTTCTAAAAAGTGGAAACACCAAAGACAAAGTGTTTACAGTTTTACACACTATTAAATACAGCATATAATAATTTGACACACTCATTCTCTCTTTATTTTATTTTAAACACACGCAGTTTAAATACAATAACATTATAATTCAGTATGTCTCTTAACGGAATTGCATCTGCCACATTTGCTGCGCGAGCGGCTTTTCCAGCCAAGGTTCGTCACTGATCTCTTCGTGCACATTGGTTCGATGCTGAACAGATTAATACTAATCCAGGCAGTGGATTGGCTTTGTTTTTTCAATTACTATTCATTTTTAGCTTATTGACATGTTTGATTCATCATTTTGCTATATAGACATGTTACCAATTGTACGGCCCTTCGGAGTCCTTCTCGGCGCTCTTGAGGAAGGAGATTACGCCGGATTTGTACACTCCAGCCACAACGGTATGTGTATCACATTTCCCTCGCTCACCAGGGTCACATCCTTTTGTTCTGATACATTGAATACAGCTGTCCAAGAAGTATGATGAGGGATACTTTTTGATTATGTTCACTTTGGATGTGTAAAAATAAGTCACACTGCTAATCGATCGTACCTTGTAATATTTGTGGTATTTATCGTGCAGGCTCCATCTAAGACGGCCAAATATATCGGCCAAAACTTGGCAGCGCAAGCTTTGACGTACGTGAAGCAGATTAAAGCTGCCGTACCAGAATTTTTATACGAGCTTGGATCTCAGATCTCTCGTAAAGAGTAAGTTTTAGATGTGATGATAGCTTAATTAGCTTGCAATGATTACTTATACCGATAAAATTTGTGCATATGGTCGTGTGTACCACGGGTGAGTCGGTGCAGTCGAACAATTTATGCACAAAATATACCTTACAGACGGTCTAATCCATGAAATGTACTTTCTCCGATACAGGTTTTTAACCACCAAAGGCATCTTCCGCCTCCCAGGCGGGCTTAAGCAGATCCAGCTGCTGGAGAAAAAGATCGAATTACCCAACGCTGATGTGAAGGGGCTGCTCTCTGAGGTGGAGGACTCTCGAGTCCTCACCGGACTACTAAAGGTCTACATAAAAAACCTTCCACAGCCCATCATCAACTCCAGCGAATTGAACGAATTCGAAAGGTAAGTCGTGCTTGAGAAGTTGTGTGTGCATATAGCTGGAAGTGATGTGATAGCGTGTGCTTGTACTTAGCATAAAACTTGCCTCGGCAGCTCTGAGATACATATTGTAGATGTTTACATGAATCTCTCTATGGTTAATCACAGAGCACTAGACAACGACGAAACCTTCATGCAATTGGCAATGATCATGCCGGATATGCATCTCAATGTCCTGCGATATATTTTAAGGATATTGAGAGCCATTGCGGCAAGAAAAAAGGTCAATGAGATGAACGCCGAGTAAGTCATTATTTGAATACATTTACATTCGTATATGTTTTATAGGATGTCATGCCATTCGACTAGTATGGTTATTATTGCGAGTTAGTAAGTATTTATTCATGCACATGTAAGATACACACACACACACATATATATATATATATATATATATATATATGTATATATATTTATAATGTATATATTTATATATATTATGTATATATATATATATATATAATGTATATATATATAAATATATATGTATCTTCACATATATATATATATATACATATACATATATATATTTGTATATATATATAATGTATATAAATATAAATATACATGTATCTTAATAAATATATATATATATATATATATATATATATATATGTATATATATATATGTATATTCAAATATATTTATATATACATTGACTTATGTTGTATTTATATATATATATATATTTGTATATTTTTATTTATATATATACATATATATTATATCTCTATTTTTATTTAATATATATATATATGTATATATATACATATATATATATATATATATATATATTCTAATATATAATGTATATATAATACATTAAATATATATATAAATATATATATATATATATATATATATATATAGTAAATGCATGTATGTGGGATCCTCTAGAGTCGA